GGGGCAAGTGATTGCAAGGAAGAGACAGAAACAAGGGATCAAGAGCTCCAGCGATGGAGCTCACTGAGCACAGGGGCAGAGGTGTGCTGGGGGATGCTATAGGGTGCAGCACCACATGGGAGGCATGGGGAGGAGTACAGCCCTTTCAGAAAGGCTGCTCGTAAATTAGCAGCGACCTCACTAAAGACCTCCACAGACAGCAGGACAAGCTAATGTCTGCACCATTCTCACATTTGTCCCCTCTCACCTGACTTTCAAGCCCCAACTCTGGCAAATTTGGTCTCTGCCCATTGCAAGTCAGGCTCATGACTTTGCAGAGGATCGAAACAGGCCTTCACCAGGGTCCCTGCAGCTCCCAGCCCTGCCCACACCCCACCATTGAGCCCCAAACATCCTCTTTCAGACCAGAAGAAATCCCCACCCCTCTGCCTGTCTCACAGCCTGTGCTGAAGTTCCTCTCATGGCATGCCCAGATGTTTGATCTCTGGAAGCACTTGAACATAATTTCAGAAAAAGCTGTGCTGCTCTGCTGTAAGCTCTGCAGGGCCAAGGAATTCGCTTTGCTCCTAAGCAACTTCTGCCGGCACTTTGCTCAGAAAAAAGCTAACACAGGAGGCCGAGTGACATTTCAGGTCTGCCTGAGAGAAGAGTCATCCTGTTCCCAGGACAGAGCTAAAGTGCTTCATGTGGAGCTTCTCCTGAGCCCCCAACCACCACTGTCCATGCCCTTTCGAGTAGTGGGAAATGCTTCCCGAAGGCTGCCATGTTCATGGTCCTTTCTGCCCATGTATCTGCTCGTGGTGCTGATGCACCTCAGCTTTTAACAGATTTTTAAAGAAACTTATTATGCCAGAAGTAGAAGCACACGAACGGAGAGCAGCAGATGTATCACCTGCACTGCCAGAGCAGGCGCTGCATCCCATTAGTCTTGCTGCAGAAGTGCACAAAGTGCTGGGATAAACGATGCTGAAAGAAAGAATGCTGAAAGACGGGGAGGAGGAATAAAAGGCTAAAACGCAACAGAGATTTCCTATCGATAAATCACAGCCCCCTCCCCAGAGGAGATAATTGCCATTTTAAATGGGAACACAGTGGATCAAATGTAACACAGACTGCAACGGAGCAGAAAATATCTATTCAGGCAGGAGAAGGCAGGAATTAGTATGAGAATTGTAAAGAGGCTAATGGGGAAGCGATAGTACATTACGAAGGATCATTAATGTTCCGGAGAAGGCTATTAATAGAGTTCCTTAAAGATTGACCCAGACATAAATGTTATTTAATGGTTTTCATTAGTGATCTTGGCTCAGAAAATGGGGGTTCCTCTAAGAAAACGGGGGTTTCTCTAAGAAAACATATTCATGAGACACTTGGGAGAAGTTTTGAACAGGATGAGGGACTAAGTACTACAGGAGAAGAACCAGAGGATCCAAAGATCGACAGAAAGGCAACAGGCTGGCACAAGTTCATACGCTTAGGGACTAACAGCAAAAATTGCTACTCTAAGTAGCTGAAAACACCATAGGAAAAATATCCGGCTTTTAGGGAACCCCAGAATGACTGCAACAAAACAAACGCAACCTGACAAGCCTTTACAGCAGAGATAGGGTCCATCAGAGCACCAGCGCCACTGGAAAAGGTGCTAGAAGGATAATCAGAAGCAATGCCCTACCCCAGTCCCTCACTGTCAGGAGGGTGATTTTGAACTAGGAACAGGTCCAGGCTGTGATAACGAGGATAATCAGGTAAATGTAAAAGCTGCCTGGTGAGACAGGGCTGGAAGGGTATCATTTATTCAGGCTACTGCTAGAAAGGCTGCCATGGGAAACAGCTGCTCCGCTCGTACATCAAGGAGGAAATGAACTCGCTGTGCCAAAACACAACAGGAGCAGACAACACAGGACCTGGTATTAAAGGTGGCTGTGAGCGACCGGGGTGGAAAATCAGGGGCAGATGGAGTCCCAGAGGGCCAATGCTCCAGGGAAGAGCCCCGAGCTGGGTGCATTGCCCTGGGGACCGCACTCTGACTGCAGCAGGCTGACCCCACGGCCCCCCCCATCTACACCAGCCATCCAGGCTGCTTTTCCTGCAAAGCCATGTCCAGGGGCTGTGATCACTCGGGAGGAATGTTTCCACAAGAAAATTTGGCAGAGGGTTATGGGAAACTCTCTCACCCCTGCCACACCTAGTGTTGCAACACCCCATATCCGAGCTGGCAGGCAGCAGGTCCTGCCCTATCCCATGGAGGAACAAAGTCCCAAGGTTTGCAGGAAGTGGAGCCCCGCAGCCCACATGTGCAGGAAGCAGACCCAGGCCTCAATAGCCGCAGAGCCCAGCTCCAGCTGGGCTCCTCTGCAGGGATGGGGACACCTCCGTCCCCTTCGTTCGGGGACTCCACTCCTTCCTTTCACAGCTCAGCCCAGTGGCTCCATATCTCACCTGGAAATACTTCCTAACTCCCTGCACAAGGTGGGGGGAAAAAAGAAAAAAAAAAAACAAACAAACAAACAAAGGGCAAGCACCCATTTCTTGCCCTGAGCTAATTAGGAAAAGCAATAAGAAACAAAACTACTGCTGGCCTGGTCTGCAGCAGGGGCTGCCCCATGGCACTGCCTGCACCACAGCGAGCGCTGAGCACTCCGATGCGACCAGAGCTGGGACCTGCCAGGAGAGCCCGAGCCAAGCCCCGACAGAGCCCACGCGAGCTGCGAGCACTGGTGGCAGCAGCAGGTCGTTATGTGTGGCAAAGCAGCCATGTAGGAGGCTGAGATCCACCCACGGCGTTTTCTAAGCGTGCTACTCCCCCTATAATTTATCCTGCCACTTCCACATGTTGGGAGTAATGAAAAAACATCCCTTTCACTTGAAAATACCCTTCTCCGAGAACAACCTGTTCTCGTCACTGCCGTCAGCGGGCAGGCAGCACTCGGCTTGTTCCACGCTCCTTTTGTGTGCGAACAAAGAGCTTTCCGTGGCAAGAGCCTGCGCTGCAGCAGGAGTTGAGGGACCGCTCCACACGCTGCCACCGCAGCTAAAATAGTTGCATCCCTCTCCCAACAGCCTTAATCCCAGTACCCGAATCCAGAGGACTCCCTGTCCAGCAGTGAGTTTGCTCCACTCAGGAGAAGGCTTCCCACAGGCTGGTTCATCACTTCTCGTTCACTTTTAAATCCCTTAGAAACAGCAGGGCTGCAGGTATCATCTCTAGTCTCACCAGTCCTGTCCCCATCTCTCCACCGTATGGCTCCCAGCTATCAGTGGTTATCTACTCAAAGAAAGTAAAGACAGAAACACAAATAATCTGAAGAGCATTTGAAACCACTCCACATCACTATCTTGTTCTTGCAAGGTGAGTTTAACTTTAAAATCTCACCTCCGTCCTCTGCAAAGGCTGGGCCTTTTCCTCTCCTGAAGTTTCTTGTGTTTGCTCCATCTCCACGGCCCATTGCATTCTGCAGAGAATCAGCTCTGCCTTCCTGCACCAGCATGTGCACCACCAGGGAGGGCTTCACTGCTGCTCCATGGGCTGTGGAGAGCCTGGGGAGCTGGGTCGTGCACCACCCGCAGGGACCAGCACAGCTCTCCCCGACCAGCACATCAGGGAGGATGGGGAGACCCATCACCTCACCTGGGCAGTGCATGGAGGGAGACCACAGCTGCAGCACAGGCAGTTGGGCTCCTCAGCCAGCTCCCAGCCACCTCTCTCTTGTCCCTGCAGTGCCTCAGTTTCCCTTTAGGCACCTTCCCGATGTGGGTGTTGCTTGCAATCACACAGGAACCGAGGCCCCTTTGAATTTAGTAGCAGCATGGTCTTGGAGACCACCATAATCAGCAGCTAAAGGCTCTTTTGGAGGCCAGAGGAGTTTGCTGTGTTGTTTTTGGCCTTGCAAAATACAGTTTTTTGTTATTTACATCCAGATAGAAAACAGTCACAAAAAGTAAGTCTACATGGAACGTTCTCCACTCTGTGTCCCTGTTCCACAGCAGGAGCAGCTCCATCCAAATTCTCCCTGAAAAATAAACCATCACCTTCAGCTGATATGATAGGAAGGGGACCAATGAAGCTGTCAGAGCCCTTTTCCAGCCACCTCCTCTCCAGGACGTTGCACCACTGACAAACAGGCTCCTCTTTCCTCCCAGGGCCCTGAGCAGAGCAGGGATTTCCTCCACGGGCTGCAGGAGCCAGCACAGTTGCTGATGGCAGGGACCAACGTGAGGCATGGGCTGCTGCAAAGTGCAGATAAAAAAGCAAAGTTTAATGAGACTTACAGTTGCAGTCAAGCTTCAGAAGTTACGTAGCGGTGACTAATTTTGCTAGATTGCATAAGAAAAGCGTGCTGCTTTCTCAGGAAAACTCTTTTGTCATCTCTTTCCAGGCCTCATTTTTATTCTAAGCCTGTAGGAACTTGGTGCCTCCAAAATCCCTGCCCTTCTCTCAACATCCCTCTGGGGCTGGGGGAGGCCAGCTGGCAGCGACGCGTGTGTCTGGCTGCCAAGGGACTTTCCAATTCAGGTTTAAATGGGTGCAGGCACCCTGTTTCTGGAGGGGTTTGAGGGACAGCTCAAAGGACCTTTGCCCACTGCAGCTCTGAGTTGGTGCTTTCTTTGCAGGTTGTCCTCGGGAGATGGCAAAGCTCTGTCCCTGCTGACCACTGACAACAGCCAAAGCATGTGAGACCCCACGGGACCTGATCCCATGGCTGCTCAGAGGAAAGAAGGCAGGAGAGGAAAAGGGAGCAGCTGAGACCTGCCACAGGGGATCAGCTCCAGCGCTGAGCTCCCAGATGGGATCAACAGGCACAAGCGAGCCACAGGGCCAAAAAAAAAAGTCATTCCTAGCGTACAAGGCTGAACACATGAAGTGACTCTGCAGTGCTCTCCAAGGTCACTGTAGGGCCAAGGTTGCTTTGAAAAGGGCTCTAGGACTGCCTGGTAGAGGCTTATTCCAAGTGTTTTTGGAGCCAGTGAGAGCAGGACTGCTCCATCCATGCAACTGCACTATGGATCCGTGTTACAACCATACAAGCTCACAAAAAAGGATGGACCTCCCCCTGCAGCTGCTGGTCGGGTCCTGCCTCACCATCCTCATCGTCATCACTCTCTGCGGTAACATCATCGTCTGCCTGGCCGTCACCCTTGACCGCCGGCTCCGCAGCTTGACAAACTGTATCATTGTCTCCTTGGCCATCACTGACCTGTTGCTAGGTCTCCTGGTGCTGCCGTTCTCCGCTTTCTATGAACTCACCGAAGAGTGGCCCTTTGGCAGCACTTTGTGCAACATCTACACCAGCCTGGACGTCATGCTGTGCACGGCTTCCATCCTCAACCTCCTCATGATCAGCCTGGATCGCTACTTTGCCGTCACCAAGCCGCTCCGCTACAGCCAGCTGGTCACTCCGTCCCGGGTGGCTGTGGGTTTGGTTGTTATTTGGACTGTTTCACTGATGGTCTCCTTCCTACCCATCCACTTGGGCTGGAACACCAACGGGACAGCAGTCCAAAACACAGTCCCCAACTGCAACAACGAGTGCACGCTAGAGGTGAACCCTGTGTACGGGCTAGTGGATGCCCTGCTCACCTTCTACATCCCTTTGGTCATCATGTGCATCACCTACTACCGGATATTAAAGATAGCGAGGGAGCAAGCCAAGAGGATAAACCACACATGGTGCTGCAGCAGTGACACCCCCATGCCGCCCATGGTGAAAGAGCACAAAGCCACTGTGACACTGGCAGTGGTGTTGGGAGCTTTCGTTATGTGCTGGTTCCCCTATTTCACAGTGTTCACGTACCGGGGGATGTGGGGGGACAGTAGGGTGAAAGGCACACTCATGTCTGTTGTCCTCTGGCTGGGCTATGCCAACTCAGCCCTGAACCCCATCCTCTATGGGACCCTCAACAGGGATTTCCGAGTGGCATACCAGCACTTGCTGCGCTGCTGGAGAACTGGGGGCTCCAGGAGCTCCCACTTGCCTCCTCTCCAGAAGGCCCAGTCCAAGGGCAGGAGGTGCAGACAGGAGGGTAAACCCCTGAAACTGGAGATGAGGAACGGGAAGGGGATCTTGCTAACGGATGGAGCCCTCAAGAGGTAAGAGCCTTCTTACACACGGGGCTTTGACAGTAGGTCTGTCCTCAGAGACGGAGGCAGAGGTGGGGACCCCAAGTTGTCCATAAACTTTTAAGCAAGGAGCCAATGCCTGAGCAGGAGATCCTTGCCCAGGAAACTCTCCCTCTTTGCAGCCACTCAGAAACTCATCACCCTCAGCAGGGACCCAGCTCACATCCCTCCATGCTGGCAGCACAGTTCCAGCTCCTCCAGCTTCACAGGTGGCCGGCCACCCCTGCAAACGCCACCCCTTCCCAGGGAGCACAAAACATCCCTGGCTTTGCTGCATAATAGGGACAGTGTTGCCATCAGAATTTGCTGCACAGAACAGTGTGTTTGCTGCTCCCAAAAGCCAGCCATGTCCTGCTCTGTGGCGGGGGGGGGCGGGCACGACCACCGACTGTCGCAGGGTGGGTAACTGGGTATTAGCCCCAGGGCACAGAGTCAGGGCACCCGCGGTCAGGCTGCAAGTCCCTGCAGGAGCTGAGGTCTGGGTCCCCAGCTCCCTGCAGAGAGGCTTAGCAGTTTTCCTTCCCGGTCGAGCCACACACCCTCAGCATTTCGGTTGTCAGTTTGCACCAGCGCGAATTCAGCCAACAGCATGAACCATTCCCATCTCTGGAAAGGAGCAAGAATAGCCAAAATTATGTTGGCAAACATTTTTAGAAATAACAAATACCCTTGTAAAGTCAGAGCCAAAAATTCCCTCAGCGTCACCCCAAGCGTGCCACAGGGCTCAGGCCCCTTGGAGGGGTGCGGGTGCAGCAAGGGGGCCGGATGGGCGCAAAGCGGGTGAGCTCGGTGCCAGCCTGTGGCACCAGTCCCTTCCCTGGGCACCTTCGTCCCCGCAGGGCCAGGCCACCTGCACACCACCTTGCCCAGAGGCATTCACCCACCTGAGCACAAGGAGACCAGAGAAGCATGCTGTCTGCCACAGAGCAAACTGCTGCTCCTGAGAATTTAATCTGACTTCCAGGCAGTGCCTGATAAGCAGCCAAGAAACTTTCCATCCGTAGATAAGGAGTCCTTTGACTCCCCATTCCCAGTGCGCCAGCAAAGAAGCCGCGCTCATGCTCTCCTGCGACACGTGCCTTTGATCCTGTCCCAGAAACATGGTCTCAAGCCACCGAAAGGAGAACGTGGGGAGGTGAACCAAAGGGCAGAGCCATCCAAAAGGCTCAGCCACCATCGTGCCTCCCCCGGGGCTCAGATATGACTTTACCCAAGGCAGAGGGACATCTTGGAGCAAGGGAATCTGCCCCGGGAGACACACAGGGGTGTGGATGAGTGCAAATACAAGACCACAGCTCCTGGGGCTGCCTTTTCAGCTTCCGAGGAACTAATAAAGAGCGCAAAGGTTTAGCATTTATATAAAAAGATATGGAGAGCATGTGCCTGGCGTGGTAGACATGCTTCTGCAAACATACAACGAAAGAGCTATGATGTTTACTCGCACAAAAGTGCGGCTCCTGGACAAACTGGGAGCTCACGCGACGGGGCTCTGCAGATGGTCAGGAAGAGTCAGCCAAGGGGAACGGCCGGCAGGACTTCCCTGTGCAGGTGAGAAGAGAAGATAGACGTCTATGATTTCTCAAAGTGCTGCCTTACCTCAAGGGGAGAATAATGAGATGGAGGGAAAGAAAAGGGGAAACAAAGTGGGCGTCTGTTGCCCAGGCAAAAGTCAGGGTCACTGGAGCCTGCTTTCCCCCTCCCAGCTTTCCCAGGTACACAAGGTCCTTCCCCTGGTTCCCCAGAGGGCCTGATCCTGCTACAGGAGTTGCATCCAAAGGCCACATCGAGGTCAGTGGCAGCCAGGGGACCTCCATCCCCAAACTTTCAGCATGAAGGTACCCAGTGCCAGTAGGGCTTGGCAAAAGCCCCACTGCAGGAACCTAGCACACGGCTCCCAACTGTCCTCACCTCTGCAGGATGAAGTTCCCCCACCGCTAAATTCAACCCCAATTCGGTGCCATAACAGTGCAGGTACGAGACACAGGAACTGTGGGGAAGTGAGAGAGGAAGACTCAAGCATGGGGATGTTTCTTGACCTTTCTAAAGCCAAAGATCTCCTTCCCGTCCCACGCAGCATCACTGCTGTGGTTTCTGCTCGCAATCAGATAAGAGTTGCTTGAGCACCAAATGATCAGTTACTGCTTTTACTTTCTCTACTTCTCCTCTTAGCCTGCTCACTTGTACAGAAATGATGCACCAAGGATTACATGGGGCCCCTTCCAACCCTTTTTTCCATAGTCAGATATATCAACATCTGCTGTTGGCAGATGATCTAGATCAACCAATACCACAAAACACAGGCGGGCACAGGATTTACCTGGCAGCCAATTTCACCCCAAGCATGAACCAAGCTGGTTCCTCTCCCCCCTTCCCTTCTGCATAGTCTTCCCAGCCACATTAACATAAAAAGACCAACACAAATCACTCCACAAACACATAACCCCCAAAATAACATGGACTAGAGCTTGGAAGAGCTCTGCTCAGAGCAGCTCCATGGGGTCGTTCAGGGAACAGCACAAACAGCAGTATTTTGAACCGTTGCCCTTAATAACAATGTTATTTCCTGTTATGAGACATAGAGAAAAAAACAGCAAACCATAGTGGGAATACTAGAGAATTGCAACCGGTCTCAGGGGTGTCAGGAGCAGGGACAGAGAGTCAGAGTCATCGCTGCTTTGGAAATCGAAAGGCCATGGGAGCACTGCAGCCATTAAAGGGCTGAAGGCATTTCCATGGGTCAGGACCACACAGAGAGATCAGGGCCAATCAGGGATGCAATGGAAAACAGCAGCTTCTGTCATTCCAGCAGGCACCAAAGACAAGGCAATTCACTGCACATGAAACCAGTAAAGGAAAGCACTACTTGTACGCACAACACCTGATGGACCTCTGGAACCTGCCTCGCTGCAGCAGAACAGGACTCTGAAGAGGAGTGTGTCAAGGACTGGACACAACCGTAGGCTATAAGGCCAGTCCTTGAGGTCCAGGGAGATTAAAAGCCTGAGAGGAGGAGCAAGAAGCTCTGGATCACCCTCTTGCACACATCAGCTGTGCTCAGAGCAGTGTGAGGCAGGATCATGGCCACTATATACGGGCAGAGAGACACCAGTTCCTGCAGGAAAGGGTCACTGTCCCAGTCCCGACGTACCCACCCCGGCTGGCAGATGCCAGGCAGGCAGCACCCGATGCTCCACAGAGCAAAGCTGGGCTCGACCAGGCTGACACTGACCAACTGATCTCTTCTTTTTCTCTCATTTCTTTCTGTCTTCATGTGGAATTTAACGTTTTCCAGCACCGGAGCTTTCCCGTGAGTCTCAGCCAGCCCGCTGCCCTAGGACCCATGTCTCCCATCCTCTGGTTCCTGGCTGCCCTCTTCCAAAATCCTGTGAGGCTGAAAGGACAACACCCAGATTTCCTCAGGGAGAAACTCAATGGCAGAGGCAAGGGCTGCAGGGTGAGTGCGGGGCCGGGGTCACTGGGTGTAAACGAGGGGAGGGGGCAGCTCTCCCAGCAGTAGCACCCGCTGCATTTTCCATGATCCAATCATCCCATCCCAATGGTTCTTAGCACAGAGGATGATACCATCAGGTGCATCCTTGCTCCTCTCTCCAGCACCATTTGCTCTCCAAACCCAGCCCCAAGCCCAGGGGAGCACAGCTCTGTGCATCCCTCCAGCTGCCCTGGGGATGTGGGCAATCACCACCCTGCGATGCCCTGGTGCGTACACCCTGCCTGTCCCTCCACATGCTGCAGCTGCATTCAGACCACGAATTTCCAGCACGCTTCATTTTCATGCAAGCCTAAGTCAGCACCACATAAATTGCTGGTAGCTTTCACAGGGATGCTGGCAGGGCTCCCGAGGTGAGGGGCTGATGCTGCAATGGACATTGCCGCTCTCTCCCAGCACTGCTGGGCTGGAGGACGTGGCTGCCATGCACGGGGAGACCTCTCAGCTCCAGAGAGCCACTTTGTGCAGTCCTTCTTGGGAAGAGCCAGGCAAGGTCACCCTGACCTCCACATACTCTCTCCAAGGCTGCATGCTGATAACCTGGGCTCTCCCGTATCGACTGTGCCCCAGGGGGGAACATACAGTCTCCCACGTGCTGGAAGGTAGGTACACGCATCCCTGCAGCATGCTGAGCACTGCTAACCTCAGCCAAGGTCACACAACGGCAAGAGCCGGTGCTGCCTGCCCGCACATGCAGACAGGAGGGAGCTGGGGCTGTTGTAGGAGAGTGCAGGACCCTCCACCCTGGGGCACAGCATCAGCCTGCAGACTCCCCAACTCACCATGAATCACCCCAGAAATGCCATTGTCCATCAGCAGAAGGGAAACCAGAGGCTTGGAGAGCATGGTGGCAGGAGCGGGACAGGGCAGCGAGGTCCCCATGACCCCTGCAAGTCTCTCGATGTGATGTGCCAAGGCACAAGTGTGGCTCTGTGGGGAGGTCGTAGTTCAGAGGCTGCTCCCCAGGGTCATATTGCCACAGCTCAGCATCACCCCACGGAAGGGAGCAGAGCGAAACCCTGAGCCTGGAGAGCACAACAGCTCCCAGTGAACCTCCCCGGGCAGACACAGTGCTCACGCCAGCAGCGCAGGCACAAGGCAGAGTCATCTCTGCTCCTGTCATTGCCCGACAGCAGGGGCGGAGGGGACGCCAATCCCAGCTCTTCTGCTTCACACTTTCCCTCTCTGTGCTGCACATATATTCCAAAACACATTTAGTTTCCATGAGGTAAAGGCAAAACATCAGCCATCCTCTGAGAAGCTGCTAATCTAATCAGCAGAATGAAGCAAAGTCAGTCTGGGGAGAGGTTTGCAGGAGATCTGAGGTCCTGGTGTGGCCACAAATTTCCTTTCTGCACCATGGGGGTGGGGACAGGAAACTGTCACCTTGCGCGGGGCACCCGCTCGAAAGAGTCCCCAGCTCACTTGCAGCAGCGGGGAGAGGGGCCATTGGAGAAGGAGCACCC